TCCACCATACGGAGTAAAGGTAATTAGACAATGGCACCAGTCCTTTTATATACATTTAACTTGATATCTCGGGAGGGGGGGGGGGGGGGGGGTAATGTCCGTCCCCCGTCTCGGTGGTGAGGACGGAGACGGAGGCGGCATTTTATATTGACGGTGGTCCCGTCCTTCCGTCCGTCTGTCCGAGCGCCAGCGGACATTTTGCTGTGTGTGTGTGTGGGGAGAGAGGAGAGAGAGAGAGAGAGGAGCGCAGTCTCGAGGCGTCGAGATGGAGGCGGAGGGAGTGACGTCACCTCGCCCCGCCCCCACCACCACGACCACCACGTGACGTCCAGTAGCCCCGCCCCCCCCTTTTTTGTCCTCCCTCCAGTCCTCAGCCATTGGTCCGTCTGCTTTCATTCACAATGAGATGCTGGCCCTAAAGCCTTCAGCTTGACCCCCCCCCCCCCCTCTGGAGGGATGCTATTAATACTGTCCTGGTGGTCAACTCTAATAGTGATGTACTGTTGTTATGTAAGGACCATCCATCATTAACCCCCCCAACCCCCACCACCCACCACCCACCTCTCTCTCTCTCTGTCTCTCTCTCTGTCTCTGTCTCTCTCTGTCTCTTGCCCTCTCTCTCTCTCTCTCTCTCTCTCTCTCTCTCTGTACTCCCACCCCCCAAGCATACACAAGGCGTTGCAATGATTTCAATGAAATTATGTCATAACATAACATAATAACAGTTCATTGAATATTTTTGGGAAGTTGGCATGCTTCACACTGCATCTTCTGGCCCAATAAAACATCTAGAACACGTATGGATTCCTGAAATTCATACTCTCTACACACTCAACTATTGGCATATGTTTTGCCAAGACAGTCCCAGAGTCCTTCAAGGTTACATCCTGTCAAAGATACTAAGTGTTACGTGCCTGTTTCACTGTCACAGAAGGGACTTTTATTTTGAAGGCAGCTTGATGTTCATTTCTTTTCAAAGCATTTCATCATTTTCACTCCCCAGTAGTCCTCTGAAGTTGTGTCTGGCACTAAGTGAACAGTCTTGAAAAACATTTTAATCTCTTTAGTCTTTTTTAATCCAATGCAACATCAAGCATGTACTATTTAAACAAAATAATATTTAAACAAAATGTAGCATGCTTTTATTACAATGTAATATTGTAATAAGGGTTGGATGACTATATCAACATTCAACAAGTCATCAAATTATATATATATATATATATATATATATATATATATATATATATATATATATATATATATATATATATATATATATATATATAATTTATTTATTAATTTTTTTGTACTTAATTTTAATCCTTTTAAAGGCTGAGCACAATAACTTAATAATCTCTGCCTGTTTTGTTTGTGTGCCCCATCCTTTCTTAACCTTGAATTAGTCTAACGGGGTTTTTCTTGGATAAGCTATTTTATTTACGTTCTGACTCATTGACAAAAAGCTACCAATCTCAAGTGTCTCTGGGAGTGAATGTATTCGCTTATTAACTTATCTAGCGTCTTAACTACATGCTACATGTAATGTTTAACATTTGTGTCATGTATTTGCGTTAGTAAATTAGTAATGTTTCATGTCTGTTTCATGTATTCTCTCTTTGAATGATGTCTGTCAATGCTTGATGCTTGTGGGGTGAACTTGCAGAAAAAGAGCATACAGTCCTTTACCTTTGCCTATGTTGTTGTCTTTCTCTTCTCGCTCCCTCTCATTTTTCGATTCCGTTCATGTGTGAAATTAGAAATTCTCCCCCCTGTTAAAAAGCTATCTAGTCTAGGCCATTTAGTTGAATGTGGATCTAAAAAAAAAAAGAAACATTTTGGGTACAGCTCTTTATTTGTATATTGTGTTTCCAAAGCACAATTTAAGTTGCAATAATGTAATGGACTAAGATGTTGGACATGCCAATTTTTTTTTATTGAAACCAAATGATAAATTCATCTATTCATGCGCTGTGTTGTTAATAACAAAGTGCATGTGCCTGTGTGGAGATGTGGTGAACCCCCCCCCCCCAGTGCAGTCACAGTGTTAGACGAACCTCTGTGCCGTGTGTCTCCAGGCAGGCTGGAAGGAGAACCATGCAACGTTCATGACTGAACTGAAGAACCTGCAGGCGTCTGGCTTGACCACGCTGGGCCACGCGCTTCGCACGGCCTTCGACCTGCTCAACCTGAATCGCCTGGTCTCGGGCATCGATAACTATGGGCAGGTGTGTGTGACACAAATGAAACACGACACCAATCCTTCGAGAGTGATGAAGGCATTCAGCGAACACACTTCCTCCCGAAACACTGCATTTGCAAAAATCAAGGGGATGAACGTACTGGAGACGAGATAGATATGTATATGTGTGTCGGTGGTTCAACCCCACATGGGTGAGAGGAAGGAAGTCTGGGTGGAATATGTGAAGTGGTTGAGGGAACCAGATGTGGGACTGTGTGCTGGGACTGGTTTTGAACTGAACCTGAACTGGCTGTTTCCCTCACAGGGTCGTAACCCGTTCTTCTTGGAGCCCTCTGTGATCATCACTATCACCGACGGCAACAAGCTGACTCACAGCTCCGGGGTTCCAGACGAGGTGAGAACCTTAGCAACAGAAGACTGATCACACAGCTTTATATCAGGACCGGCTGATATAGTTCATTTTTAACATTTATTAACATTTATTATGGATACGTTATTGAAATGTTGTATTAGAAATGGAAAAAATACCCTTTGTATACTGATGATCTACGGTGATCCACAGGTAGACAATCAGACCCCGATGATATATTTAAATGCATTTGTTTTATATTAAACTGATTCACAATAGCAATGCAATCATTAAGAATATCTCTCTTTTAATGTTGTGATATTGACAGATCAATTCTAGAACATAAAATAAGTAGTGCTTAAAAACTATTTCCACATTTCTCATTCGCTCTCCCAACCCTCTCTCACTCCCCCCCCCCCCCCCCCCCCCCCCTCCTCTCTCTCTCTCTCTCTCTCTCTCTCTCTCTCTCTCTCTCTCTCTCTATCTTCCTCCTCTCTCTTGCTCTTTCCCTTGATTGCGGCCCAGCTGCACCTGCCTCTGAACTCCCCCCTGCCGGGCAGTGAGCTGACCAAGGAGCCCTTCCGGTGGGACCAGCGGCTGTTCGCCCTGGTGCTGAGGCTCCCAGGGGCCTCCACGCCAGACAGTGAGCAGATGGGCAGCGTCCCCACAGACGAGTCTGCCATCACCCAGATGTGTGAGGTCACCGGAGGTAAGGCACCCTCTCTCGCTCTCTCTCGCTCTCTCTCGCTCTCTCTCTCTCTCTCTCTCTCTCTCTCTCTCTCTCTCTCTCTCTCTCTCTCTCTCTCGCTAGTGTCATCAGTGTAGCAGGAGCACTCATAAGCACCAGCAATAACAGACTTTTTTTTTTACGTTTCTAGTACATAATAAAATTCATAGTATAATTTTATTTAATATAAGGGGGGTTGAGGCGAGGCACATATAGGGGTTAGACCCGCTCTAGGATACCTACAGGTAGGCTGCGGATATTGGGGATCGACCACTGAACTGTTTGACTGGGAGTTGAACACCCTAGCCACTACACCAGCCCAAATAATTCACATTATGCAGCATTAGAAATAAATAACATAAAACGCCTCAAAGAGTTACTGGGAAAATAGGCTATTCAAAGTCCAAAAACAAATCAGAGCCTGTTGAGCCAGCTTGTGGCCTTTCGCAGGGCGCTCCTTCTGCGTGCGGACACAGAGGATGTTGAACCAGTGTCTGGAGTCTCTGGTGCAGAAGGTCCAAAGCGGTGTGGTGATCAACTTTGAGAAGAGCGGCTCCGATCCGCCTGTGGCGGGAGAAGGTAGGTTCGACCGACCGACCTTGAGCCCAGAACCCTTTTAACAGAGCGAATTCGTGTTCAGACTAAATTTTGATTGGTGGTATGTTAGTACTTGTTCTAAGAATTGTAAAAAAAATAATAATTCAGCAAGGTATGTGCCAATAGGTGTGTTTGTCTAAAACAAACATGTCAAACTATTTAGAGAATGTGAATGCTTTATCAAAGTCTGTAGCTGTTTATTTTATTTTTTTCACTGTTTACGTTACAGATGGCTCAATAGAGTCAAGCCGATCAGTATCGTTATTCAACTTACAACCCTGGCACAGCTGCCACAAGCTCATCTATGTGCGGCCCAACCCCAAGACAGGACTGCCCATCGGCCACTGGCCTATCCCAGAGTCCTTCTGGCCAGAACCAAACTCTCCGGCTCTGGTGAGAGTGCAGGGCAGAGAAGATCATTTTAATCAATTATCATTAAATCATCATCAATTAATCAATTATTAATTAGAAATAACAAACCTTTGTTCCTTATCGCTTCAGAAATACATTTTGGTTACTTTTCTGTTTCTCAAATCCTTATAAATAAATATATACACAGACAAAGCAAGACGTGGGCAATTGCCAAAAGTAATTATTTGTGACATTTGTCTTGTGACTAAAATGATTGATGAGATAGAATTGAGTCATCGAAAACAAAAATGGAAAATAGTCCTTTAGCCACATTATTTCATCTGATCCATAAACACCTACATCAATCCGACACACTTAAGCTATTTCTAAATATATTGATATTGATTTATCTTTGTTCTCTGTGCTCTGCGGCCCCCCAGCCCCCCCGCTCAGCCCACCCTGTGGTGCGCTTCTCGTGTGCAGACTGTGAGCCCATGGTGATCGACAAGCTCCCCTTCGACAAGTATGAACTGGAGCCCTCGCCGCTCACACAGTTTGTGCTGGAGAGGAAGTCCCCACACATGTGCTGGCAGGTAGGATCAGCCACAGAGCCATACTGTTGTACAGCGGTGTGTAGGATTTGACCCAGAAGTAGACTACAAGCGTAGTAGACTTGAAGCAAAGAAAACAAAAGTATCCAAATCATTGATTAGTCTTTCTATATGTTGTTTTACAATGCAATCCAGACAGTTACATTTCTAGGATATAGCTGTTGGGGGGCACCCAGAGTTGAACTTGGGACCTCTTGATCTTCAGTCAAATATCCCCTTTAGTATTCACCTTTAGGGTTATTTAGGTTACGTTAGTGTAAGCATTAGTGTAAGTGTTAGTAATAGGGTACTAGAGTTACATTTCTGGAATATATTTGTTAGGGGAAACCCAGAGTTGAACTGGAGACTTCTACGTCAACTGTTCCACAACATTGATATACCAAGCGGCGTGGCAATTTCCAAGGAGGGACCTCACAACGCGTTGCCTGGCTTCAAAGTTGAAATGATTTGAACTTTGTATGTGAATTCTCCAGGATAAAACATTCTTAATACACTAGTGGGTTGTGTCCAAGGTGACTTCCAAGAAACCTCTCCAGTAGACAGAATCCTTAACCAGACCCTGACCTAGACCTTGGTTTTGCTGAACGCACCCCTTTATGTTGCCAGGTGTTTGTCAGCAGCAGTGGGAAACACAGCGACCTGGGCCAGCCCTTTGGCTACCTTAAGGCCAGCACCACGCTGACCTGCGTCAACCTCTTCGTCATGCCTTACAACTACCCAGTACTGCTGCCGCTACTCGGTGAGGAACCGCATCAGCATATACAACGTTAAAGGGCTACTATTTTACCACCAGGTGTGAGTGTGATGAGCCATTGCAAGCTGTTTCAAAATTGCGATGTCACTACTCTCAAGTGACATCACAAGTGGGAGTGTCCACCCAGATGTACAGTGACTAGATCAATCTTCCAGCCTACCCAGTGGTTTGTACCGACTGGTAGGCTTATCTATCCATCAAACATCTGGGTGGACACTCCCATTTGTGATGTAACTTAGAGGGTAGTGAGATGACAATTTTGAAATAGCTTGTAATGGGTAATCACACCTGGTGGTAAAATATGGGCCCTTTAAACTTCCACCAATGTAGTATTTCACCAATCAGCATACAACTTTGTATGTAGCATCCACCTAAAGGACTTTTTTGTCGACGACTCTTCCATGACTGCAGGAATGAACCTTTATTATGCCATTAATATTGGAAGGGATTTAAATGTAGATGTTTTTATCTCACCCCCACCGTCTCTCATCACCCTTGCAGATGACTTGTTCAAGGTGCACAAGCTGAAACCCAACCTGAAGTGGCGGCAAGCCTTGGAGAGCTACCTGAAGACGATGCCTCCGTACTACCTCATGGTGAGTAACCCTACACGCCTTCTCACGTTTCCTTCACTAAACACCTCATTAGCACGGATTATTTGGTTCCCTGGGTTCGTCACCGTCACATTTTCACCGTCCTCTTCTCGGCGTTGCGCTGTGTGTGTTTTGTGAACCACAGCCGCTGAAGAAGGCGTTGAGGATGATGGGGGTGCCCAACCTCATCGCTGACAACATGGACTGTGGCCTCAGCTACAGCGTGATCTCCTATCTGAAGAAGCTCAGCCAACAGGTACATTTACATTTACATTTAGGGCATTTAGCAGACGCTTTTGTCCAAAGCAACTTACAATAAGTACATTTGTTAGGAGAAAGTGCAACAGTAAGTCGCTAGTAAATCGCTAGTAAATCGTACATCGAGGATTGCTAGTATACAACAGAGATAAGTGTGAAAATACTAAGCGCAGAATATCAAAGTAAGAGCCAGGACATACATTTTATTTTTTATTTTTTTATTAGTGGGAGGGGGAGGGGTAGTAGAGGAAGGATGCTAAGCGGGGTCCAGGTGAACTCTGAACAGGTGGGTCTTGAGTCTCTTGCGGAAGCAGGTGATCGACTCTGCAGTCCTCACTGCTAAGTTGTGACTTAGCTGTGTGACTTGTGGCTTAGTGTAGAGTAGCTCACTTGTGATCTTAGCGGACATAGGAAAACTCAATTATGGATTGGCACCAATGTGTGAAAACATTATTGTGTAAAATATGAGCTAAATACATGGAAAATGAGGTGCGTATTTGTGCCAGTCATGGTCTTAATTGAATTATCGATGTTCCTATTAAAAACAAATATTTTGTTTTCATTATATCTATTGAAACCTTTTAAAGTGCATTGAATCCACGCTTTAAAAAAAGAACATTTCCATTAAACACTTAATTGAAAGCTCTCATCTGTGTCACAGGCCAAAATGGCGTCGGAGCGTCTGATCGTGTCGGTGGGGAAGAAGGCCCCCCAGGAGACGGGGATGAAGGTCAGGAGCCTCTCCGGCTCTCTCTCCCTGGCCCACCAGCGCGACTTCAAACAGCTCCTGCGCGGCCTGGCCGGGGAGTCCCCCCTGAACCTGGCCGACGTCAACCTCAAAGAGTTTGCAGGCTTCCACATCGCGCTGCTCAACAAGGTAGCGCCGTGGCTCTGGAACCACATTTGCCAGAACCTGTGCTGTGTGTGTGTTTTTTAAGCTTGATTGGCTTTTTGATTTGTTGCTGCCCGTCCACAGAATCTGAAGCCTCAGGCATACAGGAACGCGTACGACATCCCGAGGAGGAACCTCTTGGATCAGCTGACCAGGATGCGCTCCAATTTGCTCCGGACGACGCAAAAGCTGATTAGAGGTCAAGATGAAGGTACCTTCCAATTATTATCAGAAATTAAATTGCAGATCTTTTTATATAGTATATTGTTGATCTCGATAGCAGTAATTCAACCCTTTGATACCTTTCGAAACCTTTCATAGCTTCTACTACAATGATGTTTTTCAATCAATATGTTAATGGTATTTTTATGTTTGTGTGAGAGCAATGTATGCTCAAATCCTAATTCTATCCTCCATGTGCTTTTTGCTCTCTAAGATTATCTCCACAGTATCCCAGTGGCTCAGATGGGGAACTACCAGGAATACCTGAAGATGATGCCGTCACCCCTCAGGGAGATCGACCCCGACCAACCCAAGCGTTTACACACCTTCGGCAATCCCTTCAAGCAAGACAAGAAGGTAGATGAGGGGGCAGGATAGTCTCCGCCCACAGATACAGATGCAGATGACTTTATTGATCCCGGAGGAAATTAGTTTGTTACAGTTGCTCAGCTCAAGCCAGAAACATTGAAGAGAATAAAATAGAATAAACAGATCATACAGCATAAATAGAATTTTAATGCATAGATAAAATATGCATCTGACCAACAACAGAATGTTATAAAATATGCTCGTATATAAAAGAAAAATATAAGTATTAAATAAAAGAAAAATATAAAAATATATAAGTAAAGTAAGTGACTCTAAAGTAAAGTAAGGTGTCTCAGGTATATTGCAGGATTTTGTCAAATGGATATGATAGTCTGGTGGTGTTAGGGGGTTTGACCTTCAGCTGAAAGGTTCTTCACCGTCTAGCCGTACGCATCCTAGAGCTGCCCAAAACTTACCTGCTCATAGATTACATGTATTGGAAAATAAATGATCTAATTATCTAATCAATTATATAAATTATCTGCTAAATGCTTTACTAGAGGAAGAAAAAAAAAGTGGTTCCAATGGTGATGCCCAGTCCTCTTACCAGAAATTGAAGGCCCACTAAGTTAAAGTTGTTATTATATAGGTTATTAGCAATTTGTCTCACATGGATACAGGCTCATAAAAATCAGGCAAATGCATTATTTGTGTATTGAAATGGAGCAAGAACAAGAACATTGTGTGGAAAAATGTTTCGGTAATTAAGCAGATCATAAATGGTACCAAGTCAGGCTTATGTATTAAATCCCACAAAAGTTGTGTGCCTAGTCTTGCCTCAAAGCACACCAATGTGACCCAGTCATGGAGCGGATCCTTTGTTTCCTCAGGCCATGATGATTGATGAGGCGGATGAGTTTGTGGCGGGACCGCAGAGCAAGAAGAGGGCGAATTCGGGAGACTCCAACTCTGGCGCTGCGCTCAAGAGGAGACGCAGCGTGTCCCCGTTGCTGCGGCGACCGCAGTCTCCTCTCCACGCCAACCACGTGGCAGGAAAGCCCTCCCCGGGGAGCCCATCACCGCAGAGCCCCGCCAAGCTCCCCCCCCAACACAAAGGTAGGCGGAGCCAGAGAGCAGGGTTTTGGTTGTTAGAATGAGCAGCCAGATAGTGTTTCTTCTACCATTCCCTTGGTTCATATAAAACAATAATTACTAATATATTGTACAATTACAATATATTAAAAATAAGGCTAAATAATACAATTAATGTGACATTAATTAATTCCCCCTCACTAAGTCATGTTACATGTATTATATTATTGATCTAAGAATAATCAGAATATTTCGTTTTTTTATTTTTCAATGAATCATTATTGACACACAGTAGCAGACTAGCTTCAATATAATGCGAGCATCAATGTCTCACTACAAGCATCAATGTCATACTGCATGAATTGCATGTTCAGTTTCACCTACACACATCATTTAGTGACCCTCGCTCCTCCTCCCCCTCCAGGAGCAGATGGCTCAAGTGCGGTGCTCCCTAAGAGCAACGGGGAGGGGGCCCTTCTGTCGGAGCTGGCGCTCCCCTGGCCCAGTGAGGTGGAGGGCCTGGTCGAAAGCCCTGCCTTCCTGACCCAGGAGGATGGGCCTGGGGCCGAGCCCAGCCCTGCAGACCTTTCAGAAGAGGAGGACATCTGTATGACGGAGGACATGACCGACAAGGAGGAGGAGGGGGAGCAGGAGGAGGAGGAGGAGGAGGAGGAGGGGGAGGAGGAGGAAAGCAACGGCAGTCTGGAAGAGGAGAAGCAGCACCCCGAGACGCTGAGTCCACCGGGTCACGGCGGAGACTTTGAGGGTTCTGAAGCTGACTCTGGGATTCTGGAAACAATAACCATCCCCCCGCTGGACTGCAGCCAGGCGGAGCTGCGGACGCGGGTCATTAAGGAAGTCCGGAAACCTGGGCGCAGTGAGTACCCCAGACACATATGGCTGAAAGGTTGAATTCTTTTCCATCGTCACTGGGGGATCTTTTTTATTGTTTTCTCCTCTTTTCCTTCCTGTACCATAACCTCTGCCACCTGTCTGCTTTCTCCTCAAGACTTTGAAGCAATACTCAGACTCCTGGAGGAGGTGACGGGACCGGTGCATGTCCAGAAGTACTTTATCCACCACGCCATCAAAGAGGCTGTCAGGTGAGAGAAGCACCCTCA